GTTCTGGACAAGGTCTCCAGGTCCATTCGCGGTACTAACACTGATGAAAATACATACTCCTGCTTCTCACACGGCCTTAATTGCAACTGCGCTGGTCTGGGTCCTAGTTACAAATACCATTATGACTGTACAGTTCCTTGTATCACGACATGCTGACACTGCTCGCCTCATGAGATAGGAGCTCAGAACTCGAGCTCCAAAGCACAAAGCTGCACCGAGGCTGCGGCATCGATAAGGAAACAATCACGGGTGCCTCGCTGGGTGTCTAGAGGGCACAGCGGCACATGATCTCAGCATCTGCAGAAAACCGAAGGACCTCTCAAACGGAATGTCTGCTAGAGGATGCCGTCGACTTCTTTTGATATGGAAATGATACGCATGCCCGACTGGTAGCAGCTTCGAGTCCCGGTACCGCGACGACAGCCGCTGGGTATGGATCTACCATCGCAGGCCTTTGCATGGACGCTCTGTCCAGCCAGCCTTTTGTAAGGGATCCAGGCAGAAGTTTCATCGCTTGGACTTGGAAAAACCATTGCTTCCCTTCGTCCCTTTGGGAGGTTTGGGAGCTGATGCCGTTGCTGCGATATCCAGAGGCAGGGCGAAGGCCATGACATTCGGACCGCGACCAACCAGGTAAGGCTCGTAGGAAGACTTCCACTTTCCGAAGGTCTTACTTTGAGCAAGCATCTTGTAGCTGGCTGGCTCATCCACAAGCACCGTGAAGCAATGAGTAAGCCCGGAGCTCTTGTCACTTTTCTCACCCAACTCTTCCAACAGCTCACCGTGCGAGAATCGGGAGAAGCCCGTAGGGTGGAGGGACACTGCAATCTTGCCATCGATGCCAGGAAGCTTGTTGATGGCCTCGACTGCTTTCTGCATTTTGCCATAATCGTCACCATCTTCCTTGACCGCTTCGCTCAACCGTAAGCCGTATACGATGAGCATCGGGTCTCGCTTCTTCGCATGGACAAGGTCCAATCCGAGTGGTGTGGTGAAAGATACCGTGTTGCGTGCGTGGGGTGCAATCGCGGCAGGCCAGTCCTTCGCAAAAGCATCACTCTTCCAGAGGTCCTTCAGGTTGTCCAGACAGTCTGCAACCGTGATCATGACATGCGTGGCATCCTTGCTCAACTGTGCAAAGTCTGGGAACGCATCCTTTGACAGTGCTTCTTTGTCCTGGTTTTTGCTGCCAAGGCTGTCAAAAGAGCATGCAATCCCCGTGAAGGAGTTGTGCCTCTGCACTGTGTTTTGGAGCTTCCGAAGCTCACTCTCACGCAAACCGGGCATGGTGTAAAAACTCAAATTCAGAAGCCGCTTGACATACCCTAAGGGAGGCTCATCGTCTGCTCCCCACTCTTGCATGCAGAGGCTCTTCCCGGTATGTACCAGCATGAGGCGCGGAGGGTGGTCCTTCGGCCAATCCGCTTCGAAACCGATAGGTGGACTGACGTACCGCACACCCGAGTGCATCTGAGCATATCTCACGCGTCCGTGACCGTAGACATGCATCTTGCTCTTGAGTGCCCTTGCTTGCTCGTCAATCATATCACAGCCTACAGCCTTCACAGCATTCTTCCTGGTCTTGTCAAAAGGCAGGCCCTGTCGTGGGAGGAAGTGGGAGAACGTAATCACGGTCTCATAGCCTTGGAAGCTAAGGAAGGATTCGTTCAACTTCATCATATACTTCCAGACCTGCAAGTCTGGATCCATGGGCCACGAGCAGCGACGATTGAAGTTGGAGTTCGGATCCGGAAACGGATCTTCATGGTCGAATTCGGCACTGCACCAGGAAAGGAGCGGCACCACTAGAACCCCTTCGCACACCGGGGCAGGGAAAACATCAATTCCCAACTCGTCGCATGTACTGAAAATGTCAGAAAGCTTCGCGATAGAGTCAGGATAACGTGCAAACTCCGAGGTCGCGATTTGCATTTCGTGGTTACCAACTGTGTAGAAGACTCTCCGGAACTTGGACTTGAGTGTGGTGAGCGCCCGTGCCATCCCGACCTTCGTGTCAGCCACGTTGCCAGCAACAATGAGGACATCGTCCAGGAAGGCTATGTCATCGATCGCATGGGCCCAGTCCTCGTTGCATTTCTGATCGAAGTGCAGGTCGGAGATTGCGAAAATCCTCGTCGAACCCTTTGGTCTACGCAGGTCCAGCCAGAAACGGTTCTGGTATCGTGCAGTGGCAGAGGCCGACTTCCAGGCCACCATCTCCTTGAGGCAGGTGTTGCGGCCTTTGATGGAAGGCTTGTGCTCTGAATCCAACTGGAATCCCCGTGCGAATTGGACGTAAGCCTCCTGATGGAAGCCACTTCCTAGCAATGCAACTCCGAGCTGGGAGTGAGCACTGGACAAGCCTGGCTGTGCTGCCACTGCCTCCTTCGCATCCTTGACCGCGGCATCCCAGCTTCGCACACGAGAGAAGGCCGCCGAGCGGTTCGTGAAGAGCACTCCCCGAAGCAGCGCGTGCTCGTCGGGCTTCGCGTCGGAATTCGACCGATCCTCTGACGTTGGCACTGGGAGCTGAGCGATGCCTTGCGTGTAGAGGGCAATGCCAAGACCAATCTGACCCGAGCGGATGGCCTCGTTCCCCTTCTCCTTGGCAGCGTGCGACGCATCCGGATTCGGGCCCTGCAACTGGGAGACGCTGCTCTGCAGCGCTTGGACGGTGGAGGGCAGCGGGTCCATCTCCACCGACTTGGCGTAGGCTTGCGCGGCCTCGGCACGGAACTTGTCCCCGAGCTCCCAGGCCGCTTGGCCCAAGCGACTCCAGGCCCGAGCCCAGCGTGGAGCCAAGGCGGCAGCCTTCCTCGCATGGGCCACGGCCGCCAGGTAGTCCTGCACCTTGATGAGACAAGCCGCCCGGTTGGAGAGAACTTTCGCGGCTTCTGGCACCAGGTCTGGGCCGCGCTGTCCGCTCACATCGATCACCTCCTCTTCACACGTCTCCTCCTCCTCCTCCTCTGCATCATCATCCGTCTGCACATGAACCGCGATTCGCAACTCCTCAAGCCGCTTTGCATAGACAGCACACGCAATCCAGTAGCTCCCCTGCTTGAAAGCCTGATCGCCCATGTTCTTCCACGGCATGGGGCGATCAGCCCTTGAGAGCGCGATCCTATCATCAAAGATCGGCTTAGCCAGCAGAGACCGGGGTCGCACACTGCGCGCCTGCGCGAGAAGGATAAAGGCTGTCTCTTGCCTCGGAGTCACATCTGGGACCTATAGGAGCCCACGTCCAGAAGATCTTCACATCAAGGCACACAAATAGGCTGAAAGTAAATCATGCCCAGATGCAGCACCGTTGTCAAGCGGGCCTTCAGCCGGTCCCAATCTGCCGAAGCCTTCTTCTTGCCGCATGCGGGACAGTCGAGGCTCACTGCAAAAAGCTCATACCTCGGCCGAGCACTCGCCGTCTCACTAGACTGGGCACTCCGTCTTCATATCACGTGTGAGGCAAGGCACTTTGGAGCTGTGCTAGCCAAAAAAGTGAGAGTGCTCGGTGGCTTGGTGAAGAGCCGGATGGCTTGTCCGATTGGCCTGAACATAGCATGGGAGGCACTTACGACTCCTTCACCTTCTCACCTTCTTGCCCTGCCAAAATGATCCTGCCTCAACTCGATGTCCGCAGTGAGCTTGTCGTGCATCTCTCTCCTGGACTGGCGTCGCTCCAGGAGGGTCCGCAGCATGCTTCCGGCACCTCACAGGGGACGACGCAAATCTTTAAGATTCGGGAGAGCTCAGCATGCGGTTGCATGTCCTGCTTAGGGCACTGGCCTGGCTCTGGAAGCGGCTCGCTGAAGCCGGCGGAGGGGGCGAGGCCGAAGCGCTCCAGGAACTGTCGGCGCCCGGCCGGGGGCCCCGGCGGCACGTGCAAGCGATGGCTGTCGCGCCTGGTTCCCATCCCCAGCTTCAAAAGCAAAGCCAAGGCTCCCTTCGGGCCCAAGCCGAGGCCGTGCAGCTGCACAGCCAACTGCCCTTCCTCGGCCACCGCAGTGGATCCATGGAACGGATTGCGACCCCAGATGAAGACCTGGCGACCCGAAAAGGGTGCGATGGAAGCAGACAAGTAAGCCTCGGATCGCATGGACGCACCCAACTGGATCGCTTCCCTCAGTTTGATATCCTGGCCATCTCGATCCAACCATAAGTGCGGCTTCGCCGAGAACAGAAAGCGGATCGTGTCAGCCTCTCGTCCCTCATGCTGGTCACCCTGCCTCCGGAAGTCCACACTCCAGGGCTGCTCCACTCCAGCTGGCAAATCGATTCGAAAGCTCTTCACTTCCTCGTTGAAACCACCGTAGCTCTTGTCCTTCACGAGCCTCGTGCGCTTCAAGGTTTTTTGACCACCGAAGACGAACTTCTCTATCCTGCAATGCACTGGCACCGTGATGATCTCACTTGGAAGCTTTTTGTTCTCCTTGGCTTTTGCCATCATCCGTTGCAGAGCCTCCCCAGCGTCGAAGCCATTCTTCTCCTGGGGCTTCTTCCCATGGCTCTGCGCGCTCACGTTGTCGCGATCACGTTCGAAGTCATACTGACGCCGGGTCGGATCATCGGCCAGGAGCTTGTACGCATTCTTGATCTCCATGAAGATGGCTGCTGCTTCGTCCTTCTCCTCTTGAGTCTTGTTGGTCTGCTTATCGGGATGGTAGTTGAGCGACAGCTTCCGATAGGCTTTCTTAATCTCATCGTTGGTGGCATACTCCTCGATACCGAGAGTCTTGTAGTAGTTCACCGACTTGTCATACTTGAAGGACTTCGGCGCTTCGAAATCTGTGTCTTTGGGGCTGAAACTTGGATCTGTCTGGGACCGCTTCTTGTCCCTCTCACTGAACTGCTGCCAGGCTTTCTCATCAATCTCCCGCATTCTTTGCATGAACGGGCTGGCCTGAAATCTTCCTTGCAGCTTTCGGGCGGGCACGAAGTAAGCAAGCTGACATGCAACCGCCGTCCCACATGAAGATCTTGACAGATACTCATTACGTCGTCACAATCTGAGGAGGAGGAGTGGCAGCAGTAGGAGCAGGAGTAGGAGTAGAAGTAAGAGTACTAGGGGTAGTCGGGCAGCAGCAGTTGTAGTAGCGGTAGGGGTGGCATCAGCGGCAGCAGGAGTAGCGGTAGGGGCAGCTGTAGCGGTAGCGGTAGCAGTAGCAGTAGCAGCAGTAGTAGTAGCAGCAGCAGTAGCAGTAGTAGTAGTACTAGTAGCAGTAGTAGTAGTAGTAGTAGTAGTAGTAGTAGTAGTAGTAGTAGTAGTAGTAGAAATAGTAATAGTAATAGTAATAGTAATAGTAATAGTAGTAGTAATAGTAGTAGTAGTAGTAGTAGTAGTAGTAGCAGTGGCAGTAGTAGTAGTAGTAGTAGTAGTAGTAGTAGTAGCAGCAGTAGTGTTAGATGTAAATGTAGATATGGCTCTAGATGTAGATGTGGATGTACTATGTACTGCTACCATAGTAGTAGTACTAGTAGCAGTACTAGTTGTCGTCGTCGTCGTCGCCGTCGTCGTAGTAGCAGCAGCAGCAGCACGTTGTGGAAGTAGTTGTAGTCGTAGTGGTAGTAGTAGTAGTCGTCGTCGTAGCAGTAGTAGTCAGTAGTAGGAGTAGTAGCAGAAGTAGCTCGCGGTGGCAGGACTACACATCAAAGCACCTGGCACCAGAAGGAATGCTCAGCCTCGCCTTTCCATATGGCCTTATGCATTCCTTCTACCCGAAGGATCCCGGAACCTCGTTTTTTCCATATCGCCTGAAACAATCCTTATACCAGAAGGAGCTTGGGACTTCGCGTTTTTTCCAAATGACCCATTGGATTCCCTATGGCCTAATCTATGGCCTGGCCTATGGCCGAATGCACATTCCATATGACCTAATGATTGTCGTGTGGGCGAGACTGTAGATTCTCTTCTTAGGACGCGAAAATGATTAGCTCACAAGGTAGTTGCATTAGGCCATAGGTTAGGTCATAGATTGGGCCATAGGGAATCCATTATGACATAGGAAAAACCAGACAAGAAAGCCTTTGACGGCGTTTTCCATGCAAATACATTGGGCTTTGGCTGTAAAGACTTCCATTACGCCTTATGAAAGCGCAGCCAGGCTTTTGCAACAGATGGAGGAGCCTGCAAAATTGCAGCAACAACAGAGGCAGTCATAAGGGTATGCGGGAAATTGACAACCAGAGGAGTAGTCAAGGAGAATGGTTATTGCAGCAGCGTTACACTATGTTCTGCTGCCAGAACCCTCTTCCTGTTCTTTGCAACATGAAGCACTACTTGAATCAATGCAAAGGATAGCGCACGTAAGCGATACGGCTTCCGGTAAAACAGAAGAAAACTCACAAGAAATCAGCTAGAATAAAGATACTGCTCTGATCTGAGACCAAGAGTCGTCGATCTTCCTCCGTCGTCTCGGGCCTGACCACAATCTGAATTCTGATCTCCGTAAAACATCGCAGCTGTCGGGAAGAACTCCGCTGGACTGCATGGACTCTGAAACTGCCGGCCTAATCGACCCTAAGCTGATGCGAAGACTGGCAAAGATCACTCAAAGCTTCAGCCCTGGACCTTCAAGTCGTTCTTACATACGCGTTACTCCCCAAAGCCCTGCTTTTTCAGATCGAAGGCCTCGCCCGATCTCCGAGGCGGGCCACCTGGTCTTGACGGTAGCTGAAGGAGCTGTCCTCGGCTTGCTGGCTTCTCATTCTCTGGATCCCTTATTTTGGGGTCCTTATAGTAAGGATCCTATGATTTAAGTTACTAAATAAGGGTCCCATGTCTTCGGATTCTCTCATGTGGGTCTGGGTCAACCCTGCCTTCAATGCAGCCAAGGAGCATAAGTGGTGACCTTAGCATCCGGCTTGGCACGAAGCAAAACCCTCCGCCAGAGCATAGTGCTAGTAGAACAAGTTTTGCTACCGCGCACTACACGACGAAGAAAGCCAAGACGAGTTGGACTGAGCACCTGGCAGACATCGCTGCAAGCGTAAAGCACCAAGGTTATGGCTGGGAAAATTGACTTGCACACGATTGCACGAAGGCGGCTGAGCCCAGTCTGAAGTTTTAGTGGCGGTCTGCCGTGCGGTGCATAGTATCGACGGTAGTCAACTCTCTGCACCCTAAGTCGGAAAGCGCTGGACCTAGAGACACTGCCTGGCAACAATCTCTGCCGAAAGAATTGCTTCTAGAGACCTCCGTAGCAGAACTGAATAGAAAGCTCCTTGGCCCCAAAAGTTGGCTGAGACATTCGAGCCAAACGCCACAGCCACCACAGCTGACTCTCGGCTCCCCCAAACTGCTGATCAGGAGCCCCGGCACCGGGTGAAAAAACCTCGAAAAAACAACTTCCCTGGCACAGCCTGTGATTGTGCAGCTGTCATCCTGTCCCGGGAAGAAGTTCCAGACATCCGAATCATCGGCCCGGAGCTCCAAAGACCTGGGGAACAGCGTCGCGGCACTGCCAGTACGTACGTGTGCATATATATATATATATATACATACACACACACACACACACACGTATATGTATATACATACACATGTATGTATGTGCATATGCATACCTTTTTATTTATGCATTTACACATATGTATATCTTTACACACGCACCACCCTGGGGTCGGCGCAAGGTCGCACAGTCACAGGTAGCCGTCTCATCGATGATGTAGCCTTGGCACTTGCTGGAACTTCGCATCTGCACTGCCAGTGACATGATCTCTCAAAAAACAGCCGGGTGCAACTGCGGCCCGCGCCCAAGCGGTACTTTGCCTTCATGGTCGTTGCCGTTGCTTCGTGTAGCTGTAGCCACAACGGAGCTGGGGCCTGAACCTGCAAACGGTGGAGCCGGGACCGCAGCAGCTCCAATCATGATAAGAATGCGGGACAAAAGCCTGAAACTGCAAGAAGACAAGCGAGTAACAAGACTCACCGATTACAAGGACGAGGACGACGAGGCACGACCAGGACGAGGGACAAAGACAACGATAACAAGGACGACAAGGAAGAGCAGGGCCGCTGCAGGAGAAGCAGCAGCACAACAAGAGCCAGCATTATCAGAATCATGAACGACAACATGAACACCATTCAACATAATGCTGTCATCATAACCACGACTGCCACGATCACAACAATGCTCCTCTGCATGCTCCTCATGGTCATCATCATCATCATTTTATAGGGAAACTCTCTGCTCTCTGGCCCTTAACCAGCCTCTGTAAAGGTCGTGTAGTCCGCCACAGACTGGGCAGTGCACTGCAGCCTCACATGGGCACTTTAACTTCCGCGTGACAGTACCAGTAACAGCAAGACTATCAATAATACTACAGTAAAAAAATTTTCAAATAGTGCGTATAGTGATCAGGACAATAATCATGATACTAAACGTAACAATCGTAATACAACATCTGAGGGAGCAGACCAGAGAGGCTGCCCCCAGCCACCCATCACATCCATGCGGCTCAAGGTCACCTTTGGCCCAGGGCCCAAGCGCTTCAGAGGTGCACACGGCGCCGTCAGAGAAGGGGAGGAGCTGGGAGCAGGGTTCCGTATGACTGCAGACGGGCGACCGTCTTTCTGGCTTCTCCGGTGTGACAGACCTTCAACGTGAAAAGATTTCTGAGATCATGCTTGTGGGTTTAATCGTTATCCATCAGGAGCTGTGCTCGGGACGGTGAACTGATCTCCGCAACACTGCTTCAGCACACGGCAGCGCGACGGACCGTAACCTAAGCGACTCAAGATCGAGCACGGTTTCATTCCGTCAACAAACGACCCGCAGAAGCTGCACCGCCGCAGCCGTATCGTTTCTGAGCCTGGAACTCAACTGAATGACTCGTGTGTCCGTGCTGGTTCCCACAAAGACCTCTGCACGGACGTGTTGCCATGAGTATTGGCATCATGGGTATTGCCTTACCTTGCAGATGAGGGTTGTCATCCATATAACTTGTTTCGCTAACATTCTTTTTGTACCATTCCCAATACCAGCAACTAGGACAACGATCACGAGGACAGCAGTACACCTTGACTCTACGATCCTTCTGCCATGCTCTCAGCCGGGGCTGCAGCGCTGAAGATGCCGGGAAGTGTGAGGAGGGACTCTGGAAAGTCTGCGTAAGCAGAGTTCAAGCTGCTGTCCTCAGCCACCGCAAGCAAAAAGCTGTAAGCCCCGGAGTCCGAGGATGTCCGAGGTCTCGACGGTGCACAACTGCCGCACTCTGAACTCGTACGCTGCGTTTTCCTGCCCATGTTCCGATGACCATGTGGACCATGCAAAGGTTGGCTAAGGCCAAGAGTCTTCAACACTGCAAAAACCCTGAACCCCATGGAGCACGCTTGCCACAGCCTGCAAGCCCGTGAGGAGCTCCGACGTGCCCGTCTCGTTCTCTGCCAGCATCCAGCTTCCCCCAAATGGACGCCACTCTGCCTCGAGTGCATCAGGCTCTTGACCTAGAGGCCCCCTCTGAGGTGACTTGCATCTGGCCATGGGGACTCCGTGTCGGCAGAAGCTGAAACGTGAGAGCTCACAGAGCGCGCCTCCCAGCTCTGGAAGATGCAGTCTCCGTCCCCACCAGAGGACCATTCGATGGACAGCGATGTCCTACCTTGCGATTCGGCACACGGCACGAAGCATCACTCCATCCATGCAGTCGCAATTTCGACTCTTCTGAGGATGTCGCTGACATCCGCGATGACCAAATTCGGGGCCGATGCGGGCCTCAGCAAGCGTCTGCACTCACGATTAAAAGACGGCGCAGTGCAATAACAGCATCTGCTAGCAGGCTCAATGATGGAAGGATCTGGCAGTTCGTCAAGCATTCGTTGGAAGAAAGCAACGCACGCTAGCAGAGCCAAGATTGCCCCAGCTAGCTTTGAGAGAATCATCATTGCAACCAGGGAGCTGCGGCAAAGTGCGAACCGAAGAGCTGGAACTGTTTCTGGCCTTCGCACCATAGCGAGATGCTCCATGCCGTCCTAAAAACCTACGGATCATGGAGGCATCCGGCAAGCCTCTGTCTCGTTGCACTCTTCCAGCACCTCTCCCACAGGCATATTTAACGACACGTGTTCAGCCAATCATGTCGATTGGTTTGCACACCTCGAGCCCCTACGACATAGGACAATCGAAACGACCGTCTCCGATATCGTCTTACGGCCAGGGCGGGGAATATGAGAACAAAGGTTTTTGCGGCGCTGCTCTTCCAAAGTCCCGGGCTAAGCCTCCACTGTGTAGTCCGTGTTGCTTTGCAGACCAAGCTGGCAGGTGTGACCTGGGTGGGCTCCCGGTTCTCAGCAGAGACCTTTTGACAAAGGAAGTCTTCAGCGCGAGCCTGTGAGAGAAGGTGTTGGAAGATTGCAGTTCGCTCCGACCTGGTGCAAACACGTGACACACGGTTCACAGCTTAGAGTTCTACGAGTCTGAACTGAAGCAGGCACATCAACATCGGTGGAAGCTCCACCCAGCTCCGTCACCGTGACTATCCAAGCCTCGGGGAGCACTGTTGAAGCCCTTCCCTCAGCTCCCTCAGGCCAGATCTTCTGAACACTGAGCACATCGCATTGAGGACGCCGCAACTTGTCTGGACAGGGGAAGGACATGCTCAAAGCTTAGGATTCCAACTGACAAGTGTGTTCTGGGCGTGTGCCTGCGATGCTCCTGCCGCTCCGGCTGTGACGGCCGCCGAACCGAATACGACATCCAATTGGCCTGGTCATAAAAATACAGAGTACATGCCATATAGTAGGAACAGTACACGTACCCATACGCGCATATAATATGATATAACATACCAGACTATACTATAATGTATTATAATATACTGTACTATAATATAATGTAATATATAATATAATATAGTAAATGTACATATACGCTAATATACTATATTGTACTATAATATTAATGCATATTATGGAATATAACCGAAAAATATATGTGTATATACATATATATATATATATACACAAATACATACATACATACATACATACATACATACATACATACACTCATACATGCCGACAGACAGGCATGTACACCCATACATAACTAATAACGCATAACACTGAGCAAGGCTCGGCCTGGTGAAGAGGAGCTCACGGACAGAGCCAGGAGCTCAGAACTCGCCACCTGTGCCCGCAATCCCTAGGAACTCTCAAAAAAGGGGTATCCCTTGTGGTTCCTTTAAAGGGTTACTGTAAGGGTACTATGAGGGCTCCTTACAAAGGGCTCTATAAGGGTTCAGAGTTTCCGAAAATCAAGGGTACTGCAGTACCTTAATTTTTGGGTCCTTCAAAATGAGGATCTTACTATTTAGCGTAATATATTATGGTCTCCGATTTTCGGAAACTCCCAGTTTGGTGTGAGATGGAACTGACAACAAGAAGGAACCCCCACTCCGACAGCCAACACACATCTGCCTGAATGATGCTGGAGACAACGGCAGCAAGAAGCCAAGGCCGATTTCTCATCTGACCAGAATGAAGAGCGTGATGCCTCCAAACCGAAATGGTCATGCAGGTTACTCTCGCAATGCTGGAGATCACAACTCATCATGGGGCCTCTCTGCATGTTGACCCGTGTTGCCGAAGTCCTCATGACCAACGAAGCCCGCCGCCACTGCGATTGAGATGCTTCGTTGCGATGTCTTGTATGTCGCATTGCTACCACAGCACCCCAAACCTGAAATTTCGGCACGGACATTCGGGATAAAACAAACAAAGTCCGATAACCGCCGTGTCGTGACTCCGTCCCCCACAGCTGGTGCAGAAAACTCCGCAGTCCTTGAACCCGCAGCTGCACAGCAGCTGTGGTTCGCTGTGCTTCGTCCAGCTGAGTTGTTTGGGTAGACAGTGTTTCAAGTTGGTAGGTGCTGCACATGTATCTGAATCTGTGCACCGGCATCGAAGCTGCGATTGTTGCTCCGGATTTGCTATCGCTGTTGGGAAGACAGCATGGAAAATCTCTGCCCTCGTGACTGGAAGCTACAGACTCAATTATATGCTACTGGAGCCAGGCAGAACAAAGGTCGGTCGAGTAGCCCTCAGTCCCCACAGCTAGCAAGGAAACACTAGTTCACAATGGAATGCGCAGCGACTGCGGCGCTGAGACATTGGTCTACCTTGAGGCCCGCAAAGTGGATGATGCCATCGAACTTCTGCTCTGAAAAGAGCTTGTCAACAGCCTCAGACCCACTTCAGCACTAGAGTCTCGAGGCATGAAATCGCGACTATCAGGATCCACGGATGACCGATGTCTGTGCACTAAACATCCTGCAACCTGCTGCAGTCGAGCGCGGCGCTGCAGCGTCGCATGCATCGATCTTGAACAGAGGGATCTGCGCCAGCAGAACTTCGCTGGTCCATCGACGGACAAACAAGTAACCCGTTTCTCTGGCACTGAACCATGCAGAATTGTCACACACACGGCTGGCCAGTTCAGACTAGAATGAAACACTGATACTGATGGTCAGCGAAAGGCAGTGACTTAGGCTATGACTCATGCCGTCTGCTTGTTTTCCAGATTAAGCTGCGCACGTGCCTCTTTTCCGGTCAGTTCTTGTAGTCTGGGGACGACCTCACGGATATGTGCGCTGAACGAGAACACCGTCACACACGATATCTGCCAACAAGCCCTGGGAACACAATGGCACCCATGAACCTTCTCGCTCGCGTTGATCAGGTTGTCCATAATTGAAACTTTGTAGCCGCTCTCCAGAAGCTTCACAACCGTGTGCGAGCCAATGTAGCCTGAAGCACGTCAACATCGAGTTGGGATTGTATGCCTGCTGTGGCCGTTTCAGGCCGTGGTTCCCTTATCTCCGGTCACGGCTGCTCGTTCAGTTCATGCACAAATCCGTGCAGAACGTTTCACAGCTCGAAGCCTTACTGTTGCTTTTTGCTAACGTCTGTGTCGCGAAGTCCGCATTCGAGTTGCTAGGCTTGCTTCAACTAGGTAAGCACATTTGCTTAAGGTGATACTGTTAGCAACAAGACGCGCAAACACATGAACCAAAACATGCTTATACAAGTGCACCAGTGGAGTTCGCAAATCGTGCCTGCCCCTCCCGTGCAGCAGATATGCTTCGCCATGACCTGGTCGCATTCCCATTACACTCGCATGCACAAACACACACAGGTAGTTGACACGCCTCACAAGGTGGTAAAGAAGCTGCACAGCCCATCAACGCGGTCTAGTCCGACTCCCGCTGGCAAAAATTTCGCAGCATACGGCAACCTGATTTGTGTGCAGAAATTGTATGTACGAGCGCTCAAACAGTTAGAAATGACCATTTCCATTTTCAAACCATGCACCACCCCCGAGCACCCAAACCATAACAACCTACACCTTAACCCTAACTCCACCCAAGACCCAGAGGTAGGACCCTAGGAAAAACCCACCCGAAGGCCCAGCCAAAAAAAAAAACAACCAAAGACCCACATGATGGAACCACCAGAAAACCCACACCAAGACCCCAGTGGAAAACCTCTTCCCAAACCACATACACCCCACACCTTTAGAAGACCCAAGAGTATCCACCCTAAGACCTCCAATCGTGAAAACGGAAAGGTGGTGTTCTCGTATTCTCTGTAACATCCATAAAGAAACACCTTGCAAATGGAAATGATCTTCTCTTAGAGTTTGGGGTTCAGGGCAAGTGATTCTGGCTTCTTGATGCGGAAACTGCAAAAACATGCTGCTTCCACTGTCCAACAACGCTGCCAACTGTAAATCTAGAAGGCAACAGTCACCGGCTGGCTGGAACTGCACTGGTCAAAATGTAGACGAAGCAGAACAACTGTAACTTGGAAACATACACTATGAAACTGAAAGCCATTCTTCTGCCACAAACAATTCTCTGTTGCATCAATCCATCTGTCATTTTTGGGGCGTGGAGCCCGGATCTGATTGCACTTGTTCGGACTTGTTCACCGAAATGTGTTCGCTCTTTTGGCTTCTGAAAGGGACTTGCAATCATTTTCGCTTCAAATTCTACAACCGAGACAGTGTTGTTTTGCAAGTTACGGCACAAAGAGCATGGTTTTTGGAATGTTCTCGAACCTTCACCGCGACTCGACAAGTGAAAAATGAGACCGGTCGCACCTGGGATGTCTGTTTTTCGACATTTTTTTCGCATGTAAATTTATTTCGTTATTTCTGATTTCTTCAGCAATGTAGCTATATACAATTTCCCATTTGCTTTTGGTGCACTTTTTGAACTTAATTAAGTTGTATGTTTCTCTTAATTCAGAAGCAAAACGGACCGTGCCTCGTTCTAAGATCCGACAAAACACGTTTTGAGCTGATTTCAGAAGTATTGGAGTCTCTGGTATTTTGAAAATACAAAGCGTGTCGCACGTCAAAGCCTGCAAGGTGGCATGTGCACGCACGCGGACTGGTGCTTCCGCGAGTATCTTCCAGAGAGCCACCATCAGAAAGACTTTTCTGGAAAAAAAACAGCGCACTACTGGTCAGCGACGCTTGATCACAACAAAGAAACCAGAAGCCTCGTTCTCATTTCGGAGATTTAGCAGTGTCAGAGATAAAGCTGGACACGAAACATTGGAGTTCTTTGCAGTGGTGCAAAATTCCAGCCGCTTTGGACCAGACCAGGTCTTGAGTGCACTCATCATTCAGAAAAACAACTCCAATCTGCAACAGTCACTGAGCGTAAAAAGTCCACTTCGAATCAAAGATTCTGGCTTCACCACAATGGGTCTTTCGAGCATGTGCAAGAAATGCTTTGGAGTCAACAGAGATCTTTGGTTTTACTGATCCAGAATCTTCTTTGCAATGCACACGGCACCAAGACTTGCGCCTCTCTCGCCTTTGCACGTTTGTGATTTCAGTTGCCACACAACTCAGCTCGAAGCATTGTTGGCACGAGCTTGGACCCGGACACAACACGAAGTTCACAAGAAGAATAGCAGCGCTTGCCAAAAAGTCGCTGGGCGACATCTGAGTCGCACACATGAAAAAAATCGATCTTGTCTCTTCTCTGGGCTTGAGATGGTGCCTTAATGCTCAAGTGTCCGCAAAAAGCATGAAAACGGCAGCGAGTTCCCAGCCCATGATGCGTGTTTGCAGAGTGCAGTGCAAAGCGTCCTCACTCGAGCGACCATGCAATTCGCCGTTTTGCTAGGAGCCAGCATAGTAAATCCAGTTAGGCGTTCCCGCCTGGCACATTTGGCATCTGATAAGCCATCGAAGTCATTTCAGACGTGATGGCGGCAGCAGCTCTCTAAGCAGTCTGGTTCGCTCCAAAGAAAAGCCTGTGCTGACTGCGTCGAGCTGCACAAAAAGAAAACCCACACCCCCTCTGGACTCAATAGCGAAGTTGCTGTGTAAGAGCGCCACCACGCACTAGGAACCAGCCTCGCATGCATTAGCTCCACCAGCCTGGCCCAATTGTCATGACCACCTTTCGGCAGACATGTCAAAGCGTTGAAGCGCCAAGCCCATATGCCGCCGCCTGAGGCTAACAGCAACAGGCCAGTAAACGCCAGCGGATGCATGGTCCCGTACTCCCACATGGAAGCTCCGAAGTGCGCGCAGACCCGAAAGGGGGCCCAAAGCAGCGCGCCCGAGTGGCGAAGGAACCAGCGATGGCAGGGCAGGCCAATGAGCAGAGAAGGGCGGAGGGGCCAAAACATGATCCCAAGTGTGGTTGGTGGCCGGAACCGTGGAGACGAAATCACGAGTAAGGCGAAGAATCTAATGGCCTGGAAGCGAAGGAAACGACCGCCGAAGCCGTCCAGCAGTCGCCCGAAGCTACCAGTGCTCGGTCTCGGCGGAGGCGAAAGGTCTGCGACTGTAGGAGACCTTGCCAGAACAGCAGCTTCGTGGCCTTGTTCAGAAAAGAGCTCGATGGTCTCAGCACACGTCCGACCACCTAGGTGGCGTTCATGCCGATGAGGTCCAGCCTGCGCCACGCTCAAGAGTTCACTGAAAGCCGCTCGCACCACACTTATGCCAATACCAGCTGAGTGCCACCATCCAGAACAGAGGAGAGTGCCCAGCTGCACTCTCCCCAACCTGAGCCGTGAACGCCAGCAAACTCTACACGCATCAAGAGCTCACGCATTGACATAGGCGTGCACACATGCGACGCTCTAAAACACCCAGCTGAACCAAGATACCGGCTTCCGACGTTGCAGCCCTTCAGGCCCGGATTACGTCCGACGCCGTCGGCAGCACCAGCCACCAACCTACGCCGGCAGCTGAGTGCGCACCTCGGATGTAAGCACTGAGGACTGAGGTGCCGCCTGCGAGGGTCCTGGCGGGCCGGAAGCATGCGAGGCGGCGGTGTCATTGCGCGCGCGCGCTCCGGCACTGCCCGCACTGGAGAGCTCGGCTTGTATTCGGAAGTCCTATCGATCGTCCCCGCAAAGCAGCCCTTGAGAAAGTAGACCAACAAATCCAGGGTATGGCTGCACGAATGTGGAGAACAGCGCACTTCCAAGCAATATGACGAGCGAGAACCCTCCAATAATGATCATAATCACACGGAGCCAGCTGCCCTTGTTCCGGAACGAGTCTGATAATGTCAGCTCGCAGCATCTCAGAGGACCGCAGTCTGGTGGCTTGTTGAAGCAGTATTCACACTGCCAAACGATGCTTCCTTTCTGCTACCATCTTGCTCAGAATGAACAGCCGAGCGAGACAACTCAGGAAAAGCATGTGGTGGGATACTCGATCACCAAAAAGGAGTTTCTTTGAAAGAGAAAGCTTGCTCTTCAAGCGCGGCCACAAACTGGCCACCAAGGTGACCTCAAGCAACTGTGTCGGACAGGCCACTCGCCAAGTTCAGCTGATGAAAAAGCCCCGTCGTTCACAAGCAGAAATCTCAAACTTCTTCGACCGCTCTTTCGTAGCGCTCGTAAGTGTAACGTGGAGTTCACATCTCGATGCCGAGCGCCGTCCTTCGCCTCAAGTCAAAATCAAACCCCATGACGACGACCTCTCTTTGGTCATAGCACTTGCACAGACGATTGTCTTGCGAAGCGAAGAAAACGTGATTATGTGCCACTAGCAAACCAGTTCTAAACATTTCGTTACTGCTCTGGTTCTTTTGTGATGTAGTTGGCAATCTGCCAGCGACCCGCTTTCTCCCGGATTACGTAGTCCCCTCAACTCCGATCTCACTCCGAAAATGGCAAACCCCGGCTCTTCACCGGCCCCACATCAGAGCAGCGAACTCCTCCGGAGTTGCTGAGCCATGCAAACTCCAAAGTCTCACAATCAACATCATCGACCTCCATGGTACCTGCGAATACCACACTTCTGACCGGGATCCGATGCTGTAAAAAGCATTGATTGGATTACTGGTGGATCTGCAACTCCTTGGCATTAATATGGCCTTGATCTTGACTTTGGCTGCCTGAGCTGCACACGGAACGCCTTGGCACAGCTAACATAGTGAAGAAGTCCACCAAGACCTTTGAGCGACAGGCACTGGAAAACGATGAATCCACTTTAAATGCAGCAAAAACCAGGAAACCCAACAGACCCATTCAGGTTCCCTTGTCTTTTCCTCACACCCTGGCATACAATCTCAAATCACGGTGCCGGATGAGCCCTTTTTTTTTTTTTCCAAGCGAATGAATGTTTGCGGCTTTGAGCCCGGCACCAATCAAGCGGTGCAAGCTCTGCCGAAGAAGTTGAGCGTGTCTAAAGGCCAAAAACGTGGTTGTGGATTTTGAAAAGTAGCCTTACTGAAGTCCATAAGCTCCACTAAACGCTCCACTGTGCCAAAACGCGCGATTGGAACATCTGCCTCACAGAGTGTGTGAAGCAAGAGACAGAAGTTGGACGAGTGACAGTATGCGGGTTAGAGGGAGTTTAGAGAGTTCTGTGAAAGTGGAGTCAAGCTGCAGAGGCTAGCTCGTAGACTGAGTGTTGAAGGCTTACATTCTAACGCTTCTGTCGCAGGTGGGCCAGACGGGTGGAGAAAGTTTTGCAGTAACAGGTCAGAAGAGGAAGAACATTCATTTACAAAGGACGTTCTAAATTCTTGCGGCAACTCCACTCTTGGAGGAAGGAGGAACAGAAGGTACTTTCACGTCGGACATTGTTGCAATACTTGGACCAAAAGAGCGGTCGAATTGCGGAGCCAATCCGGAAGCTGTTTTCTAGCGGCTGGTTTTTTCCAGACCCCGAGATGTCTTTTTCCAGACCACGCGATCTTTTTTGTTTTTTGTTCAACATCCACGGTCCAAAAAAAAAACCTTGATTTTTTTTTCGAACCCAAACAGAGGCCAGAAAAAAGACAAGTTGGCCGGAAAAAAGATCCTTGCAGTGTGTGTGTTTTCACTTTTATTTTTCATTCTTATTTTCTTTGCTTTTGCACGAAAGCGATATCGTGTGGCTTCTCCTTCCATCGTGTTGGAAAACAATTTTTGGATGTTTTTTCGATGACACACTTTGATTTCTTTCGTTCGCTTTCAACCCCGAAAAGCGATTTCGTGTTTCTTCTTTGTGTGTGTGTGAGAAGTTATAGTATGGTTAAGTTAGGGTTTTGTGCAGTTTGCGTTGCGAAATTCATATTGTGGCGCTCTTTGCTGTGTTGTTTGATATGTCACGTGTGCGTGCTTCTATCTTTGTAGAGGTCAGAAAGAAGACATTAGAGGCCCAGAAAAATATCCACCGGGGTCCGCAAAAAGACACAGGGTCAGTTACGAGATATTTCGGGGCCGAGAAAAAGACGGCTTAAATCGTGGAGTGGAGGTCGAAAAAAAGATCGTAATCTTTTTCTAGACCTCGTCGCGGGGCTGAAGAAAAGATGGAGGTCGGAAAAAAGACATGCCGGGGCGAAGTCAAGATGGACCAAGCGCGGGGTCTGAAAAAAGATATTTCGGGGTCGAAAAAAAAAGCAGCCCGTTTTCTAGGATGCTTGGAAGGTCCTCTGTGTGAGAAAGTTCTTTTTCCAAGGTTCACATGTTTCCGAGCGCTCCCCTTGTTATTTTGAATTTTGAAGGAACACCGGCAAGATGCAAAACAGAGCTGGTTTTATATACGGTTGCACGCCACGGCCAGCAGTGTACGCAAAGGTGGCATCTGCTCGACGCAGACGTGTGCTGGGAAAGCTCATGTGGGCCAGCCTCACGCTTCCGCACCTAGCTTATCCTGTTGGGTTTCTATGACGTTTTCAGAGTGATCCTGACAGCCAAGCTGAAGCCTGTTTTGGAAGAGTTGTGCGTTGGGTGATGGCTCTCGTGGTACCTTCAGCGTTTCTCAGCACTGGGTCGACAAGAGTTTTGAGTCAGAGACCTTGCTCTCGGGGTATGTGGATGCCTCGTTCCACGTGTGTTCCGTGTCGGGAGTCATTGTCCTTTGGCATGGAATCATGGTCAAGTGCTTCTCAAGAAAACAGTCAGTGACGGCCTTAAGCTCGCGGAAGCAGAGTTGGCCGTGCTCACCGAAGCTTGCTGAGGAAGCTGTCTACTTGCCTCTGCTGTTTGAAACGCTCCTTCAAGGCCTGCCTGCCGGTGACCTGTCGTCAGACAGTGAAGCGGCATTGTCAATTTCAAAAATGAAAGGCCTGCTGCGCCGAGTACGGCACTTGGAGCTTAGGCATAGGTTCCTACAGGAGCTTGTGCAAAGCGAGAGACTGCACCTCACCTTCATCCAAGGATGCTTGAATCCGAGCGATGGGCTCACGAAGAGTCCTGAAGAAGCGATGCTCCAGCATCTGCTGGAAACGTGTGGACTTGAGCGGATCTGTGAGGAAGACTTGCAGGCCCTGTGTGCCCCTGACCACCTGAGAGAACGTGTGGAGGAACTGGACAATCTCAACGAGAAGCTGGAAGAGCTTCCTGAGAACTTACTGAAGTCCAGTGGCCGTGGATTTGGCTCTGGGTCTTGTTCCTCTGCTTGTGGTTGAACTCTTCTGTGTCCGTGACAGTGCGCTGTGTACTGCGTGCGAGCACGAAAAGGTTGCCTACATAGGCATCACTCAGGAGGAAGACTTCGCTTTACTGGGCTTGCCCAGTTGAACTGTTGAAACCTTCGAATTTTGGGCGGCCGGGCGGGAAGAGATATTTTCAGTTTTGAGTTTTTCCAAGTTTCCGTTTTCAGCTCACTGTCTCTCAGTTTGACTCAGATCCTTTCAGTTCTCAGTGAGAATCCGTCTTTCCGATATGTTTAGGCTCAGTTTTAGTTTTTGGTAGTGTGGGGCAAAGGCTCCTTCGGACGTAGATGTCATGGCCAGAGCTGCAAGGGCAGGAGCTTGCGCTCCTTAAAGGGGCTTTCGCGAACCCCAGGCAATTGCAGGCGGCTTTCGATAGTCGCGAGGAGGCGGCTGAACTAATCGAAGTGTTCTTGCCAGGCATCAACCGAGATGGGAAATATCAGAGAGCAGACGTTCTTGTGGCATGGGCACGGGAAAATGAATCAGTGATGAAGCGACAGCGAAGAGAGTCGTTGCAGGGCATGTGGGAGGTATTACCCCAGCAGCGTGTGACGCCGAAGCTGGCAGACACCTTCGATGAGCTGGCAAGGAGCAACCCGCTTGTCCTGCTACCGGCACTGCAGCGGAAGAGGCGCTTGCTTAGAGAAAATACCGACGCTACGCAGCGAGCAAAGGAGGAGCAGCTGGCGAAGAAGAAGTATGCCTTACAACTGGCCGAGATACTTAAGCAGGCGAAGTTGCCATTGGTGCAACAGCTGGAGGGAGTGGACCGGCCCGAAGAAGTTTGGCCACGGATATTTGGAACCCGCAGGAGCAAAACGCTGCGAAACCGCTTAAAGGCCTGGGAACCCTTCAGGACATGGCTGCAGTGCGTCCATGAAGTGCAGTGGCCAACTAGCGTGCGGCAGCTGATTGATTATAGCAATGAGAGATATCAAAGCGAGTGTGGCAAGACAGTGCTGAACAGTTTCCAGGCGTCGCTGGCCGTCTTGGAGCAAGTGGGAAAGGTCGCAGAGACACAGCGGCTGTCGAATGATACAACTTGGATGGCACACTTGAAGTCGTTAACAGCAGACTTGGTGGGTGCGCAAGCACCTGTACAGCAAGCACCCATGATGACGGTGGCGATGATCATATCACTTGAACTGCACATTGCAAGAGAGGATGAACCAGAGTATGTACGGGCAATGGCATTCGTGGCGCTGCTGGCCGTGTATGGTTCAATGCGAATGGACGACTTGCAAGGGATGCTGCCGGCCACCATGCGGCTTACAGCACAGGGCTTCAAGGCCACTCTGGGACGCACCAAGACGACGGGCGCAGACCGTCGCAACAAGGAGGTCTCGGTCTTCATACACAGGCAGGCAGGATTGTCCGGGTTTGATTGGCTGGGTGAGGGCTTTGCGCTTTGGAAGAAGTATACTCAGCCGAGAGACTTCCTTGTCATGATCGCCAGGGACGATTGGAAAGGGCCAACTAAGCACTTTGCTAAGAGCGAGGTAGTTGCAGGCTATGTGCGTGAGGTCTTCAAGAGGCTAGCAACGCCGAAGTTTGAGGATGGGGCCTATCGCCTCAACTTGCAGAGGTACCTCTTGGTGGAAGGGGCCCAAGGCTTCTTTACGGGGCATAGCCCACGCAATTGGCTTACTTCAGCAGCTGCGGTGTTGGGATGGTCTAAGGATCAGAGGGATTTCTTGGGTCGTTGGATGATCGGTGGTTCGGGTTCTGCCGACTACACGCGCACTGCAAGGGAGGTTGTGCATCGCATACAGATTGGAGTCTGCGAAGCAATTGTCACCGGCAAGGGTGGCGAGTATCAAGAGAGTGAAGCCCTCGAAGAGCTAAAAGCCTTTGTGGACGAACGTGGAGGTTCAGGTGCATTGGCGAGGCGGCGGCATGATCTACTTAGGACTGTGGAAGGCGTACGCTGCTTGGGCACCAAGTGGCCTGCCATTGAGCAGGACGATGCAGATGCCAGCGAAGAAGAGGAGGCACCGGAAGCGATGAACGTTGAGGGTAGTGCCACAAAGTACTTCATTAGCATCAGTCGTAAGACGGGCCATCGCAGGCTGCACTTGAATGGGCCGTGCCATGTTAAGCCACATCATTGCAATAGGGTCGAGTTTGTCGAGCGTGTCGCATTGGATCAGATCGACAGCATTTGTCGTGATTGCAAGCATCGTATGAGGGAAGATCAAGGTGCCGAGGACGATCAGGACACAAGTAGCGAGAGCGGGTCCACAAGTGACTCGAGCTGCGAAGAGGGGTGAGAGTACGTTCGAAGCTTGGCGACAAATTGTGTGTTGCGGTAGGAGTGTGCTGTGTTCGAGGTGCGGCATGTACATGGCTGTTTGCATGGGTAGGTGCTCGCGTGAGGGAGTTTGGCTAAGGCAGCTTCGCAGGACCGTCGGCATGTTCGTGATTGTGAGAGATCCACGATTTTCAGTGTCAGTCACGAGTGCATGCAATTCTAAAATTACAGAGTTAGGAGCTGTGTGATTTTCAGTTGCCATGGGCTACCGCTGAGAGTGCGGTTTCAGTTGCACAGCACGGTGCTGTTTCAGATAGCATGGCGTTGCCCAGTGAGGCGGATCAGAGAGCAGAAGTGGCAAAGATGGATTCTGACTTGCAGTATGTGCTTCAGGAAGCCAGTGCGTCACTGGCCACGCAATATCAGGTTGCGCGGCTCCATCAGAGTCGCAGGCGATTCCAGGCGATCGCCGATAACCGCGAAGGTGCCCGGACAGCTGCACGTGATTTCGGGATTAATCCTGATACACCGGCGGGCCGTGTTGAGGTGGCAGCTATCGTAGCTGCGTGGGAACTTGCCAAGGAGTATGCCAGTAAAGAAATCGAGCTACGTGCAGAGGCGAAAGTTCTAGGCCATAAGAGAATCTTGCAAGTGCAGGAACGCCAAGCTATGCTGAAGGCAGTGACGGATGCATACGGGAAGATGAATGAAAGCGAGACGCCAAGTGCAGAGTACTTGGCAACAAAGGCCGAGGAGTGCGAGAGCAATGAGCCTCTCGCAAGTTCGCTTGATCGCATCTCTTCAAAGAAGGATTCGCAGGTGGAGAGTCTCCAGACTAGCATTGATCCGACCGGGCATGTTCGGGTGACAAAGACAATGCAGAAGTTGGAAATGCCACATCACTCAGAGGGCTATAGACGCTTGATGAAGGTCGAGGCACATGCATGGCTCTGCATGAGTGCACGGTTTAAGGCAAAGGCTTGGTTGCAAGGGCTTCAGCTTGATGATTTCACTAAGTTTGTTGAGTACATCTTGGGAGATCGTGTTGGCAACCTAAAGTTGCCCACTGCTTCAGGGCAAGAGACGCAGTTCAACAGGCCTCCATGGAACATCGTCTTGAGTTATGAATATAAGTTGAGGGTTGAAGCTTTCAAGATGATCCTGGAGGGAACCGCCACCATGGCAGAGGCACTTCGGGCAGTGCGTGAGGATCCATCGCTGAAAGAGGCTTACTTTACAACACCTCTGGCATTGCACACAGCTGGTACGCCTACCAAGTTTCGGAAGGGCAACAGCAAAGGAAAGGATAAGCAGCAAGGGCAAGAGATTCCACCGCCGCCAGCGCCGCATCAGAACGGTCGTGGAGCAGGGAAAGGCAAAGGCAAGAAAGGCAAGGGCCAGGTTGTCTTGTCAAATGGGAAACAGCTTGCACTTGTGTCAGCGACTCCTGACGGCCGTCAGTTGTGTTATGCGTACAACCACCAGGGCTGTACTGATCCGAAGTGCGCACGTGTGCATGCGTGTCGTGTTGCAGGGTGTTTCGGCGAGCACCCAGCCTCGCAGCACGAAGCCGCGACAGCGGGTAAGTGACAGAGTTGCGCTCAGCAGGGGGCGCATGGGCACCATCTGCCGTTGCTGTCAGGCCAACCTGTGGCATCCAGGGTGGTTCATGTCTTTGCAGATCCTGCTGAGCGCTTTGATTGGGCACCGCATCTCAGCAATAGCATGTCGCAGCCAGAATTCGTCGCTTTTGGATTTGATGCAAACAACCTGTTTTGTGGTCATGCTTGGGATCAGTTGTTTGAGCTTGTGAAACAACCGAAAACCGTGATCTTGATCTCGCCTCCTTATGATACTTTTAGTCGGGCGAGGCATAAGCAACCTGGGCCACCGCCACTTCGCAGTGACAAGTGGCCCAGAGGTTTTCCATGGCTTAAGGATTCGTCTATGCAGAAGGTGACTTCTGCCAATCATTTTATCGACCAGTGTTTGAAAGCAACAGTTTTCGCGGCCGAGGCTGGCAATTTCTTCATGTGGGAAGCGCCGGAACACTTCGGCCGCACCGCTGATGGCATTGTGCCGAGCTCCATTTGGGTTTGGCCTGAATTACTTGACTGCATTCCGCGTTTTGCGGCCACAACCTTTGTGCATTACTTATGCGAGTTCGGGGCGGACTGGGCCAAACCGACGCGTTACTTGAGCAATTTGCCTTTCTTCCGTCACTCCCCAAGGCCCTTGACGGGGTTGCCGGTGCTGGATGCGGATCACCGCTACGTTGGGCCGCTGCCCGCGTCGTGCCCGCATGGGGGTCACGCGAGTAGCACCGGCAAATCACCAACTACGCAGCAGTGGAACTTGCCGCGGGCCCGCGGCTGGCCCCCTCAGTTGTGTCAATTCATAGTAGCAGCCATCGACTTCTCGCTGCAAGCAGATGGGGAATGCAAATCCTCTAAGTCGAAGGTTCCTGATAAGGCAATTAAGGTCCCCGATGTGCTGGGTGGGCACGCTAAGGTTCCTCCCGTGCCCGTCGTTTCAGGTTCTGACCCTAAGGTTCCTCCCGTGCCCGTCGTTTCAGGTTCTGACCCATCCTCGCCTTCAGGTTGCAGTGCCGCGGCTGCTCCTTCTTCCCAGTCAGGTTGTAGGTCCCCTAAGGCCACGGTGGTGCACCCTTCCCGTTCGGGTTTTAGTTCCTCTTCGCTTCCTGTGAAGTCCACCTGCGATCCCGAGAGTGCCGCATCACAACTGCTGGCGGCGCCAGGTCCGCTAGAACGTCGCCGTGTGTTAGGGTTATTTGACATGCTTCCCCGCGAGGAGCCGCCTAGGGAATCGACTTCACCTGCACCGGGCAGGGCTTTCGCTACGGGCGCTTACTGTAAGGGTGGCTTAGTCGGTTTGAGGCATCATTCAACTGCGATGCCTATGTCGACGCGGGTTCTAACGAAGTACTTGCAGCAGGTTGCACCTGGCTTTCAAGCATCTGCTATCGCGATCTTCGATGATGTCAGGACGGGTGTCCACCGTGATGCTCGGAATGCACACTATCCGAACATGGTAGTGCCGTTATCCGACTTTGAAGGTGGCCAGATCTGGCTGGAACAGCAAGGAGGCGACGTTTGGGAGACAACGCCAGAAGGGCAGAGACCGGGTGTCCTCTTGGAGGTTTGTAAGGGTCCGGTAAGCTTCGATGCCTGGCGGTCGTACCACGCTACGCGGGCGTGGAAGGGCCGTCGGGTGGTGATGGTAGCTTACATGACTGACAAGCTTGGCAATGTTGAGGCTTCCGACTTAGTTCACCTTAAGGCATTGGGCTTTGAGTTACCACTTGACTTGGCTGCATCGAATGGGGAGACTTCGGAAGCTCTGGGTACCGCCGAGGGCCCAAGCACACGAGACACAGCACCACCCGTGCCGTTCAGACCAGAGGCGTGCGGGAACCGAGGCAACCCCATTCGTGTTGAGTGGGAAGGTCAGGAGGCTGACATGACAGACGGGTTCGGGCTGTGTTCCCCGTCGCGATGGAGGCCGATGGATCGGGGGCATCGCCTGGGCCCAGCGGCTACTGCACATGCACAATCCATGTACCGGATGCTTACGAGCTTCATCGCCGAGCATGTACCTGATCCCCGGCGCTTCTGCTTGAGCCTACTTTCAGGAAAGATCGAATCCTCTCCATTCGCTGGGGAGAAGTTGGAAGCCCTGCGCAAACAGTGGGTCAAGGTGCTGGGTGCAGAAGACAGTCCCGACGTGCTTGAGATCCCGGATGCGCAGCCCTTCTTGCTAAGGGCCTTGTCGCTTTCAGCCGAAAGACTTGAGGATCCAGACTGGGAGATTTTAACGGAGGGAGTTGACTGTTTCTGTACCGGGGTCCCCTTAGGTCTTAATTGCGACATACCACACTTGCCGCAGGTGTATGAAAGGAAGTGCCAGTGGCGTAAGCTTGATGAGTCAGAGTTGGAATTTGACCGGGAAAATTATAAGAGTGCCGAGTTGAGCTCCGCCGGGCTCCTCGAAAAGTTTCGTGCAGAAGAAAAACTTGGACGGATGAAACCGACAACACTCGGAGCCTTGCGTGAGGAGTACAGTGACGACATGATCCGCGTGGCCTCAATGGGGGCAATCCTCAAACCCGATGGCAGTGTGCGGCCATTACATGATGGAACGCACGGTGTCAATGTCAACAACCAGATACGCTTGGTGAATCAGTTAGCAGTTCCAGGTCCGGCAGAAATGTCATTTTCAGTTCGGCAATCAGGTGCTATGCAAGAGATTCCCTTGGCCGCGACCGCGGAAGTGAGTGCTGCACACAGGTTGGTCTTGCATCGGAAGAGTGACTGGGCCTTGATGTCATGCAGGGCAGAGCAAGGGTCTGACACGATTTGGATCAATAAGGTAGGAACGTTTGGGCTTAGCCCAGCTTCCTTTTGGTGGAGCAGGTTGTATGGAATCATAGGCAGAGTGGTCACCCGTTGCCTACTGCAGCACGCCTTTTACCACTTCGCTTATGTGGATGATGTGCATCCCACTTTCTACGGGAAGCGGATGTACATCAACTTCCTGGTTTGGCTGATCCTTCAAGAAATGATAGGGGTGCCCTTCGCTTACCATAAGTTTAAGGGGAAAACGCTTGTCGCTTTCATAGGATACGAGCTTGACTATGGCGCCAGACTGGTGGGACTTAGCGAAGCCCGAGGTGCCTGGGTGTGCAACTGGGTCGATGAGGCACGGAAGGCGCGCTTCGTCGTCTCTGTCAGGAAGTTTGCAGAGTTTCTCGGGAGACTTGGGTTCGTGTCTAGGGTTGTGTACTGGATCAAACCACATTTGGCCCCCTTGTATGCTTGGTCAGCTGCGGCTTCGAAGAGCCATGTTGCAAAAATGGCGGACACGGTTATTCTGACTTTGCTCTACGTGGAGGCAACGCTTAAAGACATCAACTTCAAGGTCACACCGGGCCGACAACAGGAAGAGAAAGGGCATCTCTTCCACACGGATGCGAAATGCGATGATGGTTATGTTGTCCTAGGAGGTTGGGACTCTAGCCAGGACCTTTCGGTCGCTTCTTGGTTCTCCATAGTGGTGAAGCCTGCGGATGCACCGTACCTTTTCGACTCAGCGGGAAAATCACAATGGGCGTCAGCATCAGCCGAACTTTTAGCAACATTAGCTGCTTTGTGGTTCTTCGGACACCTTAAGGAGAGTAGTTCGCAGAGGCGACTCCCCGTCGCCATTGCCGGGGCCACTGACAATCAGAGCAACGAGAAGCTTCTTAAGAAACAGTCCACTACCAAGTGGCCGCTCATGCTCATCAACATGCAGCTCTCACATCTCCTAAGAAAGGCTTGTCTGAGGCTCAGCTTGACTTGGAAACCACGTGACGAAAATAAGTTGGCAGATGCTCTGACAAATCAGGATTTCAGCTCTTTCAGTTCCGAACACCGTTTGGATGTCAGTTTCAGCGAGCTACCACTGGAGCTCTTGAATCAGTTGTGGTTGTCGAAGTCCGACTTCGATGCGTCTCGTAAGGCGCTGCAGTCTGCAAGTAATTTTCTGCCTCATGCCCCGAAGAGGAAGCGCGAAGGCACACCCTGGTGACTCAGGGAGAGGGGGCGAGGCTACGCACACCAGATGTGCCTGCCTTCCCTCCGACGAGGGGACATTCACCACCATCCGAGAAAAAGAGTCTTCGTCCGAGTGCTGAAGGATTGATTTTATACTTCCTTTATACATATGACTCTGACGTGCATATATTCATCCAAGTTTGAAGGAACGATTTTAGTAGAAGGTTTAGCGTTCGGCTCAAACCTCAAAACGAGAAGGGGAAAACAGGCTTTCTTCGAGGAACCCTTCTCAGATCACGGAGTAGTAGCCTACCGCTTGGATGTCAATGTTCGAACAGAGTTTTGCAAACTTCCCAACTTTCGTAGTCTTTCAGAGAGTGAGCCGGAAGAAGTACTTTCACGTTTTTCCACGGTTTGGCAGCCTGAAAACTTTCAAAAGTTCTTGGAGCAGCAGTCAGTCGACCAAGCTTGGGCCCTACTGTCGGATACGGCGGAGCAGGCTTTGGGCGCTGAGTCGAGCGACCAAGGCGTGTTGAGAAGTCAACTTTGGTGCCCTCGCAAGTCCAACTCGACACCCAGACGACCTACAAAACAAGGGCATGAGTCGAAGACCTTGTGCTTCCTGCGTCGCTTGCATGCCCAGCTTCGCCAACTCCAGGGCCAACCGCACGTTACGGGACTTAGGCTTAGGGTTGGTAAGAACCTCGCTAAGCTTAGGCGCCTGTTTGCTGACCTCCCCTTCGTGTCATTGGATGACATTCCTTCGGTCACTTCCTGGGTCGCAGGCCTCACTGAGGATTTCGCGCTTCAAGAAAAGAAGGCTGCGGTGCAACAGTGGCAAGATCGTGTTTGTACCAATGAGAAGCTCAGTACTCGTTGGATTAAGCGCAAAGCGGATGAGAAGTTGCAGCAAGAAGCTCAGGCCCCTGACCTTGCGAAGCATGCTGGTGCTGTCCACCCCGCTGCATTCTTGCGTGACCAAGCGGAAGTTTGGACAAAACAGTGGACTGCGCCGGAGAGGCACATTGATCTCGCTCGCGTCGAGGAGGCTTTCAGGTGCCTTCCTGATGCGTCCACTCTATCGACCGGAGTCATCAGCCTTTCTGTTGAGACCCTTCGTGCTTCGGCTGCGGCCATGCGCAACAAAGCGGCCGGGCCGGACCAGTGGACGGCGGAGCAACTGCTCCGTTTGCCCACCGCTTGGTGGGAGGCTTTTCTGCAGCTCTGGTTGTTTATCCTCCAAAATGGAAGTGTTCCTGAATGCTGGCGTCGCGTGATAGTCACTCTGGTGCGTAAACCTGCAGGGGGCACGCGTCCGCTGGGACTGTGCTCAATCGCGTGGCGTGTTGGCACCCGTGCCATAAATCGCAGCCTGCGTGGTTGGGTCCAGTCGTGGGCCGAGCACGGTGCTCTGGGGGCCGCCCCTGCCAGAGGGGTGGGAGATGCTCATGCAAGACTTATGCTCGCCAGGCGTGCTGGCGCCCGGCATTTTTTGAAACAAGACCTCAGTCACTTTTTTGACTCAATCCATGTAGGCACTGCCGTTCACCTCTTGAATAGGCTAGGTGCCCCTCCCGAACTTGGGCGTCTTCTCGTCTCCTTCTATGGTGCCCAGCAGAGGCTTTTCAAACATGAAAGGTACCTGCACGATCAGTGGACCCCTGTGTCGATCGGATGCATCCAGGGATGTCCTCTCTCCCCGACAATTGCACTGGCCTTCGGCCACTTATGGTCTCGATTCTGCGCCACCCCGGGCACCAACAACCTCATCTTCATAGATGACCGGGTTCTGTGGCCCTTGCCTGGAAGCGCTCAGCCGGCTCGCCTGCTTGATGCTGCTCTTGACAAAAGCACGGAGTTCGATTCCATCTTTGGATTTAAGTGTCGCCCTTCCAAGTGTGCAGTCGCTCAGCCTCCTGGCGAGGATGTGCTCACTGCTTTTGCCTCTGCTAAGGGTTACGAAGTTCAGCACACTCTTGAAATCTTGGGGATTGTCATGCACTTGGAAGAAGAATCCAACTCCCTCTTGAAGCTTCAGATGCATACCCTCTTGACCCGACTTTGGTTCCTTAAGGTTGCTAAGCCCCCCCTAGAGGTTGCAAAACGCATAGCCAACAGCTTGGTCGGCTCGGCCATGGTTTGGGCTGCAGGAGTGGCGGTCCCTGACGACTGCGAACTTGATGCCATCAGAAATGAGCTCAATGCCATTTTGCAGCCTCACGTCACCTTTGAGACCCCTTGGTGTCTCATTTGTGCTGTGCACGGGTGGGAATGGGACCCGCTGTGGTTGTGCCAGTGGCGTGCCTTGCAGAGTGCCTGGAGGTTTCAGACCAATCCGCCTGCATGGTTGGATACGGTCCCTCTCACTGATGCTTTCCCCACCTGGATGCAGACTTTACCCGTTGCAGTGCAGACTGTGCAGGCCCATGCGTGGCAAGTCACAGCTGATGGGAGCCAGATTACTCGTCAAGATGCTCAAGGCTGCACTCGACGATTTTATTTTGGCTGTGATCATAAAAATGTTTTAAGAGAATGGCTTTCGCATTGTTTTCAGCAAAAGTTCTTGCATAAGTGCGGTAGAGTGAAGACTAGGCTCCACAGAGATGATCCACTGGCTGCCACTGGTCTTGATCTCCCTAAACCCAATCGTACCGTAAGTTTTGCACTTGCCGGACACAAGGCGCTGGGCCGCGATGGTCCCCTTGAACAGCGGCGTGCAGCTCATGCAACAGGTGCAACCGGATGGCATTTTGCACGTAAAATGCAATTGCCTAAAGGTCAGGTTGTGACATGTATGTGTGGAGGTATGTGGCCCAGCAGGGCCCACTTGCTTTGGCGCTGCACTCACACTGCCCACCTTCGTGCAGGTCTGACGATGCCCGTCGACCGTGCGCAAGAACGCTTGTTTGCAGCTCCTCTGCCGGAGAAGCCTCCTGCAGCGGCAGAGTCGGACTACGAGGAGTGGCTGGGACGACTTTGTGAACACCTTGAAGAGATGACGCGACGACATGACCTGCTGGTCATTGCGACGGATGGCAGTTTTTGCCAGGATACAGGTGCGTGCGCCCTTGTGACGCTTCAGGCGGCCTACTCGTATGGCGATGAGAAGGAGGATCAGAGCTCGTTTAAATACGAGCTGCTTGGTCTCCTCTCCCTCCTTCGTGCCTTGAAACGGGGACGGATAAAAACGTCGTGCACCATTGTTGCGCTTTCGGACTGTCAGTCGGCGATTGCTGCTCTGGATGCGCCCATGTCTTGTTGCCTCCCCACTTGGGCGAAGGAAGCCGCCGCGCTGAAGAAAGAACTTGAGGATCGTGCCCTGAGCCTGCTGCTTGAATGGGTGCCCTCGCATGGCAAGCATAGCACTTGGGTCCCTAACTCCAAGTTGGACCCTGTGCAATGCCGGTTCTTGAATGATAAGGCTGATCATGAGGCCAACTTGTGTCGTCTGCGACGTGCTTCGGGCTCCTTGAGGGAGCAGTGGCACGCTCAGAGAGAAGTTGCTTGTAAGTGGGAGACGGATGCAATATATGCTTCTGCTGCGTCTGCCAAGATCCTGCAGCAGCACATCGCTGATTCTTTGCAGCGGGTGCAGCCTGCACTGCGTGAGCCGGGCTAACTTGTGGCCCTGCTCGTGCTGTTGGTGAGAGGCAGTTTCCTGCCTAGGGTAGGGTAGGGTAGGCCGCAGACACGCGACCAGGCGCCTTGCCTGTCGTGTTGAGTAGTTTGCAGACTCGTGATGGCCGTGTCACGACTAGGAGCCTTGTTTCACTGGTTCACAAGAGGAGAGTCTTTGAGTGGGACTTCGGCAAGCTCATGCTCTTCCATGTGTGCATATGTTTCTGAAGCCTTGTGGCCTTTCGCTTGCTGTACAGCTTTCGCGATCGCTCTTGGCTTCTGGTGTTTCTCACCGAAGCGACGTGCTGGTGTTGAGGACTTGCTGGGGCGAGCCTCTGCATCCCAAACAAAGTCATGAGGGGAAAAGGCAACGGCTGGGTAGAGCCGGCTAAAACTGCTGTGCGTGGGAGGGGGCAGGCAATGGCTCCTTCCTCTGGTGGCGCGGCCACCTTTTCTTCTGATATGCGAAGGCGACTCAGAGCTATGACAGCTCAACTACACAAGGATGACAACGACGGCTTGAGTCTACCCCTCAGGCCTTGGGCTCGCGGGCCCTTAGCACCATGGAGCTGGTCTGGCCAGCAAGGCGAAGCTTCCCCTTTGGAAGCGAGGCACAAATTTTGGAAGCAATGCTGCTTGGGAAGCAGCAACTGGGGTGCATCCGGGGCGCCAGGGGGCGCTAGAGATGCAAAAGTGGCGAGGGCCATGGGTCTTCTTGTGAGTTTCATTGTGGAGAAGCGACAGGCCTACCTCCTTGGTGCGAGGCAGGCTTTGCGGAAGATGCTCGCCATCGGCATTGGACCAAGCATGCTGTGGTCTCCTGTGGGCGAGTTTGGCATCCTGCCTTTGGAAGGTGAGCTCTGGTCAACGGCTGCCTTTTGCAGCACCGAGGCCAACAGAGCTTGTGACAGTGACAGAAGTGCTGTGGCCCGGGGCAGCGGTGCTGCCAACAGGGCCGGAGAAACACTCAGTGCAAGTGCGGCTGCAGTGGGCGGCGGCGAGATTATCAGTGCTTGTGATTTCTCGGCTGCGGGCTGTGGCGAGGAAAATGAAGACAGCGATCTTGTTGCTGTGAGCAATCATTTCGACAGCGATGCTTTCACTTGTGGACATGGTGAGACAGACTGCCCTGGCATTTGTGCTGCTCAGAGCGGCGACCGGCAAGCCACGACATGTATCGCTGCTGGTCCCTTTCTTGATGGCCACATTTGCTGGGAAGAGGTGCACGATGAAGGCAGCCACGGCATTGCTTTCAGCATCTACGACTCCACCATCGACGTTCCTGCTTTTAGGTCTAGGGGGAACCGGACCCAAGAACCGAGAAGAACAACAAAAGATCCGCGTGAGGACAAAGAGTGTTGTAGGGTAGGTAAGGTGTCTGTGTCACGTCGACCAGATGCCGGGGACCGGACCCTAGAACCGAGAAGAAACAATCAAGATCCGCTCGAGGACAAAAAGGGCGAACATGCTAGCTCCACCGGCCCGCCCATGGGCCCCCCGGGGCCTTCAGCCTCGCAGTGCGGAAGCCATGGCAACAGTGTTGGCTTTCAGGCTCCTCCCGCTTGCGCGGCGGCGGCTGCTGGCGGCCAGTTGAGCGAGCACTTCCACCCGAAGGGCAAGTCCACCGACACGTTTCTCGAGGACCTGGAGGGCACGATCACTGGCGACGGCGACGCGAGAGGACAGCCGTCCCAAGACGACAGCCGCGGGCGACGACTTGATGTTGGCAGCTCCGGTGCCACCTGCATGTGCATCCCTGGGACCCCCCTAAGGTTTAGTCCTGTTGGGTTCCCCGGTACAGCGACGAAGCTGCATCGCAAGAGACTGCTGCCAACATTGCGGGCTTACACCAAGCCTCGCAAGCGCTTCTGCTGCGGTGTGACAGGCACTCTGCAAATCATGGCAGGGCATCCAGGACAGGGTTCATGTGATCATGTGCGGCAGGTTCCCTTGTGCACAACATGTGTTGTTTCTTCTGAGCCCTTGCTTGATCCGACTTCCCAATGTTGGTGCTGTGGCGCAACCGGCCGGCCTTATCCGAGGTGTGGTCGGGAACCCTCGAAAGAGAGCGAGAAATCCCACCAAGGACAGGTCAGGACCTCTGCTGCCCGCACGGATTTGCATGATGCCTCTTTTCTTGAAAGTGCCGAAGCTAGCCTGAGGTGCGGTCAAGATTGGTCGAAAGATCCTAGCATATCCCACCGAAGGATCGCTGAAGCAGATTGTGCCATCTTGCATGAATCCCAATCCGACAATACCCAGTCTTCTCCTGCTCTGGCTCCCTCTGCTGCTGCAGGTCGAACGAGTGTGCAAGAGCCCGTGACATCCTCACGAGCGCCCTGCCGGTCTTCACTTCGAGGTGTTTCGATCAGCGCCCGGTGCCGTGACTGCAAGCGGCCGCTCCCAGCACCGTGTGCTTATGTGAAGCCCCGCAAACGCTTCTGCAACCGTGGCGATGGCACCCTGCAGGCGAGGGCTGGATATCAGCAACAGCTGCATTCTAATCCCGTGCCGCCGGTTCCCCTGGTTCCCTTTGGGTGTAATCCCTTCTGGCCCCAGCCGAACTTTGAGCGCAACACATGCATGATATCCTCAGCCTCCTTGCTTGATCCGACTTTCAACCGTTGGTGCTGTGGCGCAACCGGCCAGCCTTGCCTGAGGTGTGGTCGTGACTCCTCGAAAGAGGGCGAGAAATCCTGCCAAGGGCGGGTTAGGACCACTGCTGCCCGCACGGATCCACAGAATGATCTCCTTCTTGAAAGTGTTGAAGCCAGCCCGAGGTGTGGTCAAGTTTGGTTGAAAGACCCTAGCATATCCCACCGAGGGTCAGCTACAACCACTGGTGCAGCCCTGCATGCATCCCACTCCGGCAACACCCTGCTTTCCCCTGCCTTGGTCCGCGATGCTACTGCAGGTCAAGAGCGCTCGCAAGAGCCCGGCATATCCTCAGATGCATCCTGCCGAACTTCGTCCCGAGGCTGGCTCCTGCTGTGCCCCTCGTTTCTTGATTGCGGTAAGGTCTTCGCAGGTTGGTGCAACTTTAGGTTTCCTTTTGGGATTTGCACCCCCAGCCGGGATCACTGCCATGACGACAAAACTGGAGAGAGAATCGGGGAAGCCAGACACCCGGGCCCGAGGTTCAGTCCCACAGGTGACTACATTCAGAGCGCTCCCAGCCGGGAGTGGTGTCATGACGACAAGGTTGGTGCCCGAATTGGAGAGGCCAGCCACCCGGGTCCGGGTTTCGACTTGGGGGGTGGTTTCGCTGATGCACTCAAGCAACAAATCATGCAACTAGTGCAGGAGGCAGTGCAAAAGATCCTTGCTGATCTTAATCTGGGCTCCCTCCTGGGGGGTCAAGTGTCAGTGCCACTGGCAAACAGTCCTTTTGCTCCCTTGCTTCCGAATGCTGCAGGGACTGGCGACGGTGTTCCGCCCAGATCCCGCAGAAAGCGCAAAAATAAGGAGCAACAGCCCCTAGCAGAGCAGCCAGAGCCCAAAGGCAAGGCCAAAGGCAAAGGCAAGCACAAAGACAAAGGTGATAAGCCCCTGCACCCTCCTAAGCCCTCGACCGAGGCCCCTGCAAACCCCTCTCGAGGTAAAGGCATAGGCATCACACCGGAGGATGCCAAGGCTGGATGGATCACTGTCGGTCCAAGAGCACGACCGAAACCCAATGACGAATTCTGCTTAAGAGCACAAGATTGGAATCAGCCCCTCCTTGATCCCACAAAGTTCGCTGAAAAGCTTGAGGCGATCCCACAGGGTGAGAAACTGACAGGCGTGATCTTGTGCAACTCTGAGCAGGCTCAGCTTATCAAGGCCATGGCAGCTGGATGTACCAAGGCTTATTCAGTCACTCTGGTGTGCCTCGATCCTGCGGGAACCGCCCGGGTCCCAGGCCTCGTGAAGGATCAGCTGCAATTCCGCAAAGCCACCACGGGCTTCCTTCGTTCTGATCCGACAGATGCTGTCCCGGCACCTAAGGGTGCCAAGCCCACTTTTGCCGTGGTTCGCAAGCCCTCTGTGGTCCTGCATGCGAGGATCCCGAAAAGCTTTGCCACCGAAAAACTTTGGGCTGCTGTTGCCAAGACACCCTCCCGTGTCATGATGCAGTGGATGGCAGACCACCATGTCAATGTGCTGGACGCCTGGGGCTGGAAGGAAGAACGCCTCGCTAAGGACCTCCAGCTGTATGGCCTTCTCAGGGTCAGCGAAAGTGACTTGAAGCCGGTGCTTGCGCTCTCTGGCATCGACGGCATCTTCCTTGAATGCGCTAAGAATAAGGAAGCACCGAAGCTTCCCACCAAAATCACTTGGGTTGAACCTACCAAGGGCGAGGCTCCGGGTGAATACCTTGCTCGCATGCGGCGTTCGGCTGGGGACCTGGGTCTCGCACATCGTGGAGGCAAACTCGGCCAAATTGCACCACTTGCCGACGGCGAACCCATTGCGAAAATCTGGTCGGTGCCGTGGGTCCCGGCCGATTGGACTGTCGAGCAGGTCACCGACCTGCTAAAAGCCTCTTTCACAGAAATCGCCATGCTCAGGCAATTGCGCAAGAAAGCTTCCAAGGTGTTCTACTTTCGTGCTGCAGCCAAGGAGCCAGACCGGGATCTCATTCCCCTCCCGGCCAAGGATGGCGACACTGAGCTGACTTTGTGGGCCGCGGTTGCACCTCCGCGCACCCCGGTGCGACAGCAGAGACCTTTGAAAGCTTCGTCGGTTCTGCCTTTGGCCCCTCGCGCCTCCATCTTTGACCCCCAGCCTGTGTCGGTGCCCAGTGCCCCTGCTGAGAACCCAGATGGCCAGGACGAACCAAAGGAGGTCAGTGCCCCGAAGCGCTCCAAGACCATGGCCCGACAGGTGCCACAGGGAACCAAGCTGCATCCGCAGCCGCGTGATGGGGCTTGCATTTTCCACACGGTTTCAGCTGGTCTGACATGGCTGCACCGAGAGGGCAAGAAGCGCATCCCCATTGCACGAGAGTTGCGCGCAACC